GAACCATTGATGTGTTTTCACACATACGATTTCGTTATTTGATATGGTCATTTGGAAAGCGCTTGATTTGATTTGGTGTATACAAGACCTCTTGCCAATTTTTAAATTAAAAAGTTGTGCACTAAATTCAAAATAGAAATCAAGTTTTTTTTGTGAAAAAATAGAAATCTAGTTAACACAGTTTATTACAACTTGGGAGTGTAGAGAGACTAGCGGCCTGACTAAACTCACCACCACAGAGCATATTGGTTTGTTCATATTGTACACGCTATTTGGCCCGTAGTCTGCACTTGCTCATGCAAATTTGGTCTTTTTTCATGTATTCAATAATCTTATGGAATACTCCTTTCAGTTCATTTTACTCCCCGTATAAGATTTGTCTAAAGTCAAACTTATTAAACTTTGACCATAATTATATGAAAACATCTACAATATCAAAGTTATATAATATGAAAATTAAATTTATGACACATCTAATAATATTGAATTCGTATTGTGGATGTTGCTATTTGTAGCTATAAATTTGGTCAAACTTTACGAAGTTTGACTTCAGACAAATCTTACATGCAGAGTAACAAAGACCAGAGGGATTATAGTAGTTATTACTATAATTTAGTACTATAATTGAGGTCCACCTCCTCCCAGGGTGGTCGTCCTGTTCTATCCTCCTATGGGCCAGTCCTAGAAGTGGTGTGGCTACGGCAGTGCCTGCATCATTATCTCCATTCCTGGATGGTCAACACCAAGGCGATGATTGTTCTTCTAGCTCGTACTGGGTGGTCACCTGTTTGCCTGGCCCACTGGCAGCCCCAGGAGTGGTGTGGCTATGGGAGAGCGTGCATCACCAACTCTTTTCGCAACCTAATGATGATGACCGTTCTTCCAGCCCATGCCAGGGTGGAAGACAGAGAGGATCTATGAGGACAGAATGAAGCAACGGTGGAAGGTTGCAAAGCATATTTCGTACAATACGGTACAGGGCATTTGTTTTAGTCCTTGAGTTTGAAGTAGGCTAAACATAAGAAAATATTTTGTGGGCTGTTGTTTGAAGGCCCAGGAGTAGATGTATAATGTACATATTTCATGGGCTGGGCCGGTCATGGCCCATTCGACCTTACTGTAGCTCCACCAGTGGGTATAGGAATAGTGAAAATCATTAATTAAGGAGTACCAAAAGTCACTTCATCTTCTAAGATTATGACAAGTGACGCAACATGGGTGTTTTCCTTTTTCTGTAGATTCAATTATTCAAAATGTTTTATCTCTTGAACCGTATGTTCAAATCCTGAACTGTTTGATACATGAACAATAGAGAAACCTCTGGAGGACATGGTAGGCGGCCTCGCCAGCAGCGGGTGAGCGCGCGGCGGCGCTGCCCCGATCTCCCTCCTCCGACCTCCCCTTGGGCAGCCGCGACCATATCCGGAATCCCCTCGGCGTCCTCTCTCGGCGGCTGTTCTTTTCCCGCGGCGGCTCCCTCTCCGCTGTGCCTCCTCGACCACGCCAGATGCTGGCTTCTGCGTCGGCGGCGGCCGCGGCCGCCCCAGCCCCATCCGCCTCACGTGCTCCTCCTCGTTCGACTTCCGCGTCACCGACGGCGGCAGCTGCTGCTCCGACTGTGCCGGGCGCAGCGAACTCCCTCGCCCGGACGGCCACCACTCCGGCTCCTCGCCCAGCTTCCGCGTCGTCGGCAGCAGATGCTCCAGCCGTGCTCGACGCTCTGGCTCCTCCTGCCGGTGCCATCAACGCCGTTGTGCCCGCCGTGCAGCAGCCGCTGCATGTGTCATGGGCCTCCCACGCCACCGACGAAGACGACATCGACGATGATGACGAGCTAGCTCCCCTGACGCCGTTTGCTGCCAGATGCTCGAGCGGGGTGAGTGGTTCAGCTGCTGTTGTTCCTGAGGCGACATTGGATCAACCATGGGTGAAGGTGGGGGGCCTTCAGTGTCAGCGACCACGGCAGGACTTGGCACCAGGGCCGCCACGCAGGAAGGAGACTACCAGCTCCCTCGCCTTCAAGAGAAGAACTTACGGCCTCTGTTTTCGCTGCTTGGCACCGCAACATCTCGTCACTGATTGTCACGGTCCTGTCAGATGCCCGGCATGTGGCCTCCCAGGCCATCGTGAACGTGGTTGTCCATCGCGCCGGCCAACGGGGGAAGGTTGTCGCCTCCGTCCTCGCTCGCCTACAGCTTCACCCTGTCTTTCGAGGGACCTGCCGGACTGCCTGGCTCCTCGCCACTTCAACAGCTCGACTCATGGATCTCCACATTCGCATCGACGCACCTGGGCCTCGGTTGTTGCCCCTCCGGCTGCGGCGAATCCCAGCGAGTCTGTTGTTGCTGATTTGGGATTGCTCGAGCCTCTCCTTGCTACTCAGATGGAAGTGTTGCGCTCCGAGATGCAGGCTTTGACCGTCTCACATTTGGAGGAGGTGGTCCGACCCCTTGATGACATGATGACTGCTTTGGAGGGGTGGACGACTCTACTCCGGGTATACTTTGGAGCGAATGGAGGTTGTTGTTGGCCAGCTGGGCCACAGTCGTGTGAGATGCATGCTGCAGGTTCTGTTGGGAATGTTGCTGGTGTTGAGGATTTCATCGAGAGTGATGTGGCTAGTTGCTCGTCTGAGGTCCTAGCTTCTGTTGCACACCTTAGGGATGCGACCCCTATTCTGGTCTCGTCTCTGCGCCCATGGAGGAGCAAGCTGAGGCCGGTGGGACTGTGGCATGCGTGGAGGCTACTCTTTGCAGGATCCCGGCTGTGCCTCTTATGTCCCGTTGCTCGAGCTCCAGGTTGGTTCTGCGGATGGGAAGGAAGCATGCCTGTATGGATGTTTCTCCCCTCGTGCCGCTCTCTGTACGTCGCCACTACCTGTCATGCCAAGTGATTTTGGGAGTGAGGTCGTCATCGAGGGCGTGACTCCGGTGCTACAATGTATGCCTGAGTTGCAGGTGTTAAGTGTGGAACCATCTTCGCCTATATCGATGGTGCTCTCGAAGGTGGGCTCTCTTGGAGCGATGACGATTGCCTCTCCGCCCTCTCCGCCTCCGTTGGAGCCTAGTCAACCGGAGTATGCATATGTGGAGGGTGATGGTCCAGTCACTACTAACAGGCGATCGCTTGAACCCTTTGGAGGTGTGGTCCCTATGGCTGATAAAATTGTTGTGGCCGAGAGTGTTGGTGCCTAATCCTGGTGTCCTTTTAGCCACCAAGATTTGTGAATTCCTCGCCAATCTGGACTCTGAAAATTCTGGAAAGACGATTGGATGCCTCTTAGAGGAAAAAGCTTTGAGGGAGAAGCACAAGAAGGGTGGCGCTAACTCTAGATCTGGCATCCTCAAAGAGAAATCTTGTAGGAGCAAAAGCAAGAAGGATAGCGCTAGAGGGGAGGCGCAAATGGTTCCATGATGGATGGCTCTCAGCTTTCTGAGTTGCGGATGTGTGCTCGGGCATGGGTGTGGTTTTTGTCGAGTTGCATTGTGTCGATTGGTTTTCTTTTGTAGTACAGAGACCCATATGTTGCGGGTTGCAGTAGTAGTGTGTTGGGTGCTTCGGTCCCGTGGCTCCATGATTTGGGAGTAGTTCACATGTGAATGGGGTCGTGCTTTTGAGCATGGTTGTGATGGTTTTCGCCCGGTTTTCCACAAATTAAGTGGGCAACTCTCTTCTTCTTAATTAATGGATGAGGCAAAACGTTTGCCTCCGTTTCAAAAAAAAAATCCTGAACTGTTTTCGTTGTTGAATTTCTCGCATCGAGATCTTCGAGAGTACATCCCTGTTAATAGGTTTTGGTGAACTTTTTTTATCCTTTATTGAGATGTTAATAGGTTTTGGTGAACTTTTTTTACTCCTGTGCCTCCACTAGAAGCAAATATGCACCTCTCACAGAAGTAAAAAAAAATCATGTTTTTTCCTTTCCGAGAGCCACAATTGTTCGTCTCGCGGAAAAAAGGATGTGCTTCCAGAAGAAGCAAAATATATGCCTCTCACGAAAGAAAAGAAAATGCATTTTTCCATGAGATTTTTTCCAGATTTTTATTGAGTCAAAACCTAGGGAAAACTAGGAAAAAAACCCAGAAAAATTCATTTAAAATCTGAAAATTCGTAAAAAATCCGGGAATGCTCAGCACGCTGACACGTGGTGGCGACGGCTGAGAGCGTGCTCTTGGCCCACCCAAAATAACCCTTGAAGGAGCCTTGCAAGGAGTACTCGTTCTTTAGCTGCTCACAGGACAGTTCATAGAATAGCTGCAAACCCATACGTTCATTTTTCTAGACTTTGATAAAACCACACACATTTCACGCTTTTCTTTGCCTTTAAATGGCATGTCACAAACTGAATCCACCTCTCTATTTTTAGGTTTGGGCCCACCTGTCATTCTACTTTGGACAGATTTGCCCTCCGTTCTTTTTATCTACGCTATGCTTGCTCTCATCTGGTTCGGTAAGCTCGACCAGATACACATGCGCGAAAGGCAGAAATGCCAGCGACCTCGGCAGTCAGATTTGCTTCACAACACGACATGCTTTGGCAGACAAATCTGCCCTTGATACAGAAGTAAATATTCTTTGTGATGCAGCCAAGTTTACTGATGATGATCCAACTGGAATACATACATATTTCCAATAAATTTAGCAGCGAAATCTAGAAAATGTCACCGAATATAGGGTATAATAAGGACCAAATAATTCCTTGATGCCAGCATCACGAACAAGTCGGTGTGAGAAAACAGAATGCTGGATGGCAGCAGGTAAAGCCATGTACTCATGTCTATGTCACTGAACTGGATGCTGTTGCAAGTCCCATAGCAAGTTAGCAACTAAGTTACCTTTTACCATCTTCTACAACCAAACAGAAATTAATTTTCGAAAAAAAAAAGAAGTTCTATGATGCGAATGGATTTCTCGGTTCTTGAGATCATCCGGTCTATTGAAAATTCTCCTCTGGCCATCTTCTCCCGACTAAAAAGACCTGAGCACAGCTATATCGAATGCTAGTCTGCCTTTTTGCTCTGATGATCAGGATCTCCACCTTCTTCCTTCTCTTCAGCTTGCGCCTCGCTGAACTCCAGCAGCTGGCAATGTAAAACAGTCAGAAACAACAAGCCTCGCAGTTTTGACAGTGCATTATAGTTATAGCTATGATATGCTCAGAAACAAGATGAAACAAAGAACATGGGACATGAGGAAACGAAAAAAATAATATCTGACAGAGGGGAACAAGCTTAATTACCGGTTTTACTTCCGCGTTCCATAAACAGTGCACAGCGACGAAGCCAATCACGCCAGGAACGATGTATAACAGAGCAGGCTGCGTATCATCAGAAACGAAAGGAAGAGAACAAAATAGGTAATAATATTCTAGAGACTAGAGGATATAGAGAACGACAAGATGAGAGGATATATTAATAGCAATAGAACTGACCTGCGCGGCTCGGAACCAGTTCATCACAACTATTGTTACTGTCAAACCCGCTGTGTATCCCAGAAACGCGCTGTTGAAGTAACCGCGGCTCTTGATCCCTCGCGAGATGTCGAAACGCAGGGCGAGCACGACAAAGATGCCTGCAATCAGAATTATATAAATTTAGATGTACATTTATACGTTAAGAGGTTACATGCTTATGGAAACATGGGAGGGCACTGCTTGTGTTTTCAGTATTGAATAATGGAGGACTGCTTAGGGAAAGTATTTGGTGCGTTGCATCAAAAACCTCTTTTTATTTTGGTTATACTGACAGATATGAGTCTAGGGATGAAAACGGTGCGGAAACGGATGAAACTGGGTGCTACCATATTTGTTTTCATATTTTTTTGCAGAAGCGGAAACGAATACAGAAACCCCAGAAACGAATACGAAAACAAATACTACCGGAAACAGACACGAAGCGAATACAGAGCGAACACGGAAACAAAACGTTTTCTTGACCAGAACTTAAAACCCCCTTGAATCATAGAGAAATATAGACAAAAAACAAACAAATTTATGGAATTTTTAACATGACTACAAAATAATATGGTTGTGATAGCAACATAGGATAGTATTGTAGTAGTACATGACAATTCTGTATAGGGTCTAGTTGAGCATGTGTGTGGTAGTAAAATTTGGTCATCGAATGACCATTCTTCTCATTCTACTCATTGTGTCATTGCGTGTTGTTCAGTAGTTAGGCTACAAAGCAGCCATGGGCCTATTGTAGAAACGGAAATTCCATATTTACGGAAACGGAAGTTCCACCGGAAAACAATGTTCCGTTTTTATTTCCGTTTCCACATAAAAAATTCATTTCCATTTCCGTTTTGCAAATTTTCATTTCCGTTTTCATATTTCCTCTGAAAAAGTGGAAACTTTCCACTCCATTTTCATCCCTATATGAGTCTAATACATCGTTTCAGTAAAAACATTTTCACAAACCAAACTCATTCCTGGGAAATGAGGATGTATCAATTGTCTGAGCATCCATGTTAAACATTTGATTCAGTCTAGTTATTAGGATCTACAAAAAGCAAGAATCCACAGCATAAATCGTCATTATACAACATAGTAGTTTCAAGCTAAGTTTGGTTGTCTCCATCTGAGAAACACCACACCTCAGTTGGCATTTTCTGCGTGCAACTGGAAGTAGTCCAATCATAATTACTTTCTGCTGTTATTGCATACCTACAATCCTGATATCAGGCCTGCAGCATATATTGGTCGTATTCGCAGCGAACGACAAAGGAGTGAATGCACTAAGATAGCAAAAAATTAGTTTTGTTTGCAATTGCTAATTGTAGTGAACAAGGAACCAGTCATGTGGTGGAATTACAACAGCCTAGCATGTCACCAAAGTCTGAACAGGTAATTGTTGCTTTTCTGTTTTCAAGCAAAATACATGATCTCCTATCCATAACAACAACAACAACAAACATCACTATATCAACAACAATACTATTGTTATGACAGTTTGGCTAGAAGTTCTCCATTTATCACTAGAACAGAGTTGTCATTTACAATGTGGCTGGAATTACTATTAAATCACAAACCAGAACAAATCCAGTATCACTGCAAATATCGCTAGAATATGAGACGAAACTAGCCAACAGGTTTATCACTTTATTTTATTTTGAGTGAAACAACAGGACTCTGCTGCGTATTTTTATTGATTTTAAATAAATAATACAAGGTCCAGGTAGCAAAACAGGTTTATCACTAACCTGGTATTACGATATCACCAAGGCCAAGCATAGAGAACGGGCGTGCAGTATCTGCGGTGGGAAATAGAAGCTACACACAGAACGAGGAAAAAATATATGAACTAAAATGGAAAAAAAATGTTGGGGATAAAAGAGTGAATACACTGAGCGAAAACACTAACCTTTATTGGGGCATCAAATGATTTAGCAACACTGACCATAACTGGAGTGAAGAAAACCCAGAAGATGTCATAGAAAAAAAGTCCAGCCTGAAATTGATGAGGAAATGGAGCAGCCATTCACAAAACAATACTAAGGAATAATAAAAGAAGGATTCAGTGACAGTATATGGAACTGCAGCAACAGGACTGACGAAATGACTGAAACTAACATTTTTATAAGGCATGCACAAGCAAAAAAAGGAAAATCTGTGGATATCAGTAAAGTAGTAAACAAGTTGAACTTTCCAAATTATCCAATCCATTAGATAGTAGGATCACTGTTCAATACTACTTGCAAGAGGATGAGTGCAGCGCAGACTACATACTAGAAAAGGCAATCATGGATAGTTAGCCTGCCAATACCATACCAACAGTGGGAACCAATTTTTCTGAAGTACGGAACCAAAATCGAGAACAATCATTCAGAATATCACCACAGTAAAAGTAATTGACTGAAAGCCGATTCTATAATACAAACAAATCATGGAAATAAGGACAAGAACACTGCTATGCATTTAGTGAGCTGCTAGACAATTTGTTACGATGATAAGTGCAATCAAGAGATGCAAACTGCAGATCGTCAATATGGCCAGCAAGCACTGCATAACACTGCTTTTCTAGAAAGACGGCGAAAAGAAAGGCTAGCAAAAATTCTAGAATATCAGCTACTTCAAATTGTATCTACCCTACATACATGTCATGCTATTTTTATCCAAATTATATATATTGTACATATATGTCATGCTCCACGAAGTAAGGATTATGATAGCAGAGAGGTGAGAAAGAGAAAGATATGTAGGTGGCTGAAATAATAAAAGAGGTTTACAAGAACAGCAGAAAATAGGAATACATAAGTTTCAGCTCGTTACAAACTTTGAGTGAACACATACCAAGAGAATACCACCAGTTTTGAACGATCCTAGTGATAGCATCTCAATTCCCTGCAAGGTAAGAACTAGAGTATTAAGGTTGAACAAGTAAAAAATAGAGAGGAAAATTATTCTAGCAAGGCATATTGACCTTAAAACTCTAGAAGTAAGGACACACCTGAATACAGAATGCAACTCCCAAAACATTGTTGGCCAGCCAATGCTTCTTCATGACATACCATACGCAAAAGAAAAATCCTGGGATTGAAGCAACAACTTGAGACTTGGTAAACTCCACCGAGAGCGCTGAAATATGAAGTTAACAAGCATAAATCATCATCAGAGTCAATCTTGTAAACTTTTAATATCATCAAGAAGGTGCATCTGTGTTGTGTTTGTCAGATATGGTAAGGCTGAATTTAATAAAAACTCAAGACAAGAGTCATATTATTACATACGAAGCAACAAAAGCAACACAGATCTTGCAGATGTACCGAGATTCCAGTACACCAAGAAAAATGGCACACTATATCAAATGAAACATTGTCACAAAAAATGTATGTTTACATGCCAATTGATTACCCCAGTTTTTTGCAGAGCAACTGAGCAATATCATGTTGCCAAAATAAAGTACAGGCAGTTTCGCTGTTCACCTCTAAAATGAACTACTGGTCTACAAAAGCATGAGTGCTGAATTTTATTGAACTCTGTTCAAGTTAGAGTACTCAATACGTCAGTATTTGGACTCTTGGTTAGCACATTATTATTGTAAAGTATATATATGGCAACTTAGAAATACTAGAGATGAAAAAGAATATACAGTGCGTGAGGATAGCAGACTAGTAACATGAATTTTGCAGTATAATCTGGCATGAGCTTCAGGATATAGAGCACAAAGCAAGTGAGCATCAAACAAAATGAAGGCGGGAATCATACAGTGGAAATACGGAGCACGCCAAATGATGGCATTATCATTCCACCCTTCTGGAAGAAAACGCTTTACGGAAGGAAGCAACGTTGCGCTGCATAAGGAAGTAGGGCAACACAAATGTCTGTAAGTTCACATTTACAGTTTTAAGTGTTTATATCTATGCGGAAAAGCTATTTGAAGAACAGTTGGAATTACCAGAGAGCGGCGATCCCAAGAATGAAAAAGTAGGCGGTGAGAACAGCATTGACCAGGTCCTTGGAGAGGAACTTGAACAGCAGGAACAGAGACAGAAGCATAGCACTCCCCACCAGAGGGTACCGCATCGCGTGCTCCTTGGACATCGTCTCCTGCATAAGAAGAAACGGAAAAAGTTAATAATAAGTTGAGCAGAGCAATATGCAAGAATTTAGTGTCAATCTAGGTTAGCAGCTCAACATTGAGAGAATAGATAGAGAGGGACATGTTGCTCACAGAGGGTGGAGTGGCCTTGACAGACCGGTAACAGCCCACATAGACGGTAAGACACGCTGTGAGTATCACATTCAGGTTCGGGTTCACGTTGATGACCAGCGGCGCCAAGCTCAAACCTGCACAATGTCATAAAACACATGAATGAGGACTGCAAATTAGGAAATCAGGCGACAGGCAGGTCGATAACTGAATTGTCAAGAAATTGAACACACCAGCAAGGGCCAAGTTCGCAGCAAGCTCATGTGTCCTCATCGTCGCGGCACGGTCAAGAAGATCAGCCGGGAGCTTTTTGTGACCCCTTTATTGCCAAAAATAGTCCAGGTGCTTCAGTTCAGACAGAGTGCCCTGTTCCTGCTGGAAAAAAATGAGCAAGCACCGGTGAATCAGAAATTCAGAAGCGAAATTTCACCTTGGTAGCACACTAGGATGACTAGACTGCGCGCGCTACGCCTACCCAGCTAAGCTTCCTAACAAATTACAACGAAACAATCTCAGATCACCGTCGCCGGATGGTCCGACACTCGTGAACTAAAAATAGAAACCAAGAACGCGATTTCGGGCTTAGCAACGCCCACCGTGAAGCGACGGGGATGGAGATCGGCCGAGACCGATCTCCACGACGGCAGATCTGGGGGAACGGCCGGCCGGTAGACGGCGGAGGAGGGGTTCCGACGGCGCCGGCGTCACGGGGGTGAATCCGGGGGCGGACGGTTTGCTTCACGGGTGACTCGTGAGGAAGACAAGAGGGTAGCAAGCACGTTGTACTAGTACTACTACTACTAGTAGCCCCACCCCCGATTTGAGATGGGTTCCCACGTCGAATCCCAGCCGTTAGTTTCACGCAGCAAACCACCAACAAAAACCGTCCCCAAAATCCATCAACCACGACACATACTTGGTATAGGGATCTGAATTTCAAAGCGTTTAGGTAGAAAATCGATGCCGTAAAAGGGAAGGAGGATGTTAGAATGGACCAAGATCTCGGGTATTAGCGTACCTAGATGGGATGCATCTTCTGATATCCACCGCAAATACCAGTCTTGTTCGTGGAGCTTTGCGGATTGTTCAGTTTCCTTCCTAATGGTGTGTGATGTTATAGTCGGTTGATGTATCTTGTTTCTATCTCTATCTTTGTACTTAATTTTTTGCATTTTATTGGTATTTATCATGTAATAAATGCGAGCTTCTTTTCCATATGTGCGGTATCCATTTATTTATTTCCCGTATTTAAAATGGCCGGTCTCTCTTAGGCTGGTTGTAATGGGAAGTATCATGCATATGATACTAGTATATGATACTAGTATATGATACTACATTCCTAATGCATAGTATCATATGTTGGTATCATAGAGGACTATATTTATTGCCATGCATGACACAAAGTAGCACATCATTTAATATGATACGGTATCATGATATGATACTCAAGCCTCTCTTTCTTCAGTTAATTCTATGTCACCTCATCAAAATTGCTTAGTTGGCATACATGATACTACCTATGATACTCCCATTACGGGCAGCCTTATCTTTTGAGTACTACCTATCTTTATATCTATTTATAAAAATTGGATAGCATTTATTGCGTAGTAATAAGTTTTCCCATAGATTTTTCCTTTGTACTTTACGAGTATAAATCAATTAACTGGAATCAAGGAAATTTGGGTTATACGTATGACGGTTTAGAAGAACAATCATTTAGCAAACAACATTGTTGTGACATTGGACTAAAGACCAAAACTGCAATAACCATAGAAATCGAGATAAACATGTTTTTTTACGTTTTGTTTATTTGTGGGAATTTATTTTTGTTTCTTTGGTCTCTTTGGGAGCTATTATAAACCACCGGAAATATTATTTGGCTGACATTCCCTGGTAGGGGATGGCAAACAAACGCGTTTTGCTGACAATTGCAATGCTAGATCGAACGGTGGCGGTTTTTAGAAGAAAATACCTTCCTCCGAAGAATTATCATGTTGTTCCAAAGAAAATGGCATGTGTTTACACTAGTAGAAAAGGGGGCAAAGGTCCAGGCCGGGTCAGCCCATTAGTCCCGGTTCAGTCCAGAACCGGGACCAATGGGGGCATTGGACCCGGTTCGTGAGCCCAGGGGGCCGGCCGGGCCACGTGGGCCATTGGTCCCGGTTCGTCTGGACCTTTGGTCCCGGTTGGTGGGATGAACCGGAACCAATGGGCCTCGCTCCTGGCCCACCACCATTGGCCCCGGTTGGTGGCATGAACCGGGACCAATGGCTAGTCCCGGTTCATGCCACCAACCGGGACCAATGGTGGTTCCTATATATACCCCCTCGCGCAAGAGCAGAGCACACTGCTCTGTTTTTTCTGGCCGAGGAGGAGAGGGCTTGGTGGTGCTCTAGCTCACCTCCTATGCACACAAGGTATTCGATGGAATGCCCGAGCCACACTACTCAAGCTTTCTCCTCTCCAAGCTCGACCTCCAAACTTCATTTTCCTCAATATTTGTCTAGATTTAGCGGTCCGTCACGCCCCGTCCCCGTCTTCACCGCCGTCGATCACCCGCGCCGAGCTCATCGCCGGCACCACCGTGGTGAGCCTCTTGTTTTATCTTCTTTCTGAAAGGAAAAAATATTCTTACTTGTATGTTTACATAGATACTTGTATTATTTTCTTACTTTTACTATTGCATCTTATATAGTGCAATGGTTTTGGTATCCGCCCCCGTCGGCCCTCGTCCTGTCTATGATTCGGATGTGGTATATATATATATATATATATATATATATATATATATATATTATCTTTATAACTATTGGTTCATTTATTGTTTATGAAAATTATGCCGACCAACGTGACATAGATTTTATTTATCTAGGATGTATGTGAACCGGAAATTCCAACCGACCCTATTGTCGAGAGGTTAAATTTAGTTGGAGAAGAAAACAATTTCTTGAAGGAAAAAATAAAAAAAATTGAGGAGGAGAAGATGATATTGGAGTTGCATGTTGCGGATGTCGTCGATGATCACAAGATCAAGATGGATGCAATGCGCTTGAAAATTAGAAAGATTAGAAAATATGCCATTCATACAAAGGCTTGGTATCATTATGCCGTTGGATCAATTGTTACCTTGGTTACGATTATGATCGCATTTGTTTTCGCATTGAAATATTTTACATAGTTTCAATGTATGGTTTAATTAATTAGATGCTCTGGAGAGCTATATGTTGTTAGATGAGAACTATGTATGTACTTTGGTTTTAATGTGATGATGAACTTCTATTAATTTGGACACTTAATTATATATAATGCACGCAGATGAACCGGCAATGGATGTACGGTGACAGACACACCTCTGAGTACATTAAGGGCGTGTAAGAGTTTCTCGAAGCGGCTGAGGCAAACAAGCAGAATGGTTTTATGTGTTGTCCATGCACTAAATGTAGGAATACGATGTCTTACTCTAACCGGTAAATCCTTCATAGCCACCTGCTTTACAAGGGTTTCATGCCACACTATAATGTTTGGACGAGGCACGGAGAAATAGGGGTTATGATGGAAGACGACGAAGAAGAAGAGTACGATGACAACTATGTGCCCCCTGAATACGGTGATGCTGCAACGGGGGGAGCTGGTGAAGATCAAGAGGAACCAGACGATGTGCCCAATGATGCTGCAACGGGTGAAGCTGTTGAAGATCAAGAGGAACCAGACGATGTGCCCAATGATGATGATCTTCGCCGGGTCATTGTCGATGCAAGGACGCAATGCGAAAGTCAAAAGGAGAAGCTGAAGTTCGATCACATGTTAGAGGATCACAAAAAAGGGTTGTACCCCAATTGCGAAGATGGCAACATAAAGCTCGATACCTTACTGGAATTGCTGCAGTGGAAGGCAGAGAATGCTGTGCCTGACAAAGGATTTGAGAAGCTACTGAAAATATTGAAGAAGAAGCTTTCAAAGGATAACGAATTGCCCGACAGTACATACGCAGCAAAGAGGGTTGTATGCCCTCTAGGATTGGAGATGGAGAAGATACATGCATGCCCTAATGACTGCATCCTCTACCACGGTGCATACAAGGATCGGAACGCATGCCCGGTATGCGGTGCATTGCGGTATAAGATCAGACGAGATGACCCTGGTGATGTTCACGGCGAGCCCCCGGGAAGAGGGTTCCTGCGAAGGTGATGTGGTATGCTCCTATAATACCACGGTTGAAACGTCTGTTCAGAAATGGAGAGCATGCCAAGTCGATGCGATGGCACAGTGAAGACCGTAAGAAAGACGGGAAGTTGAGAGCACCCGCTGACGGGTCGCAATGGAGAAAAATCGAGAGAAAGTACTGGGATGAGTTTGCAAAGGACCCAAGGAACGTATGGTTTGCTTTAAGCGCGGATGGAATTAATCCTTTCGGGGAGCAGATCAGCAATCACAGCACCTGGCCCGTGAATCTATGTATGTATAACCTTCTCCTTGGATGTGCATGAAGCGGAAGTTCATTATGATGACAGTTCTCATCCAAGGCCCTAAGCAACCCGGCAACGACATTGATGTGTACCTAAGGCCATTAGTTGAATAACTTTTTCAGCTGTGGAATGGAAACGGTGTACGTACGTGGGATGAGCACAGACAAGAGGAATTTAACCTAAAGGCGTTGCTGTTCGTGACCATCAACGATTGGCCCGCTCTCAGTAACCTTTCAGGACAGACAAACAAAGGATACCACACATGCACGCACTGTTTAGATGACACTGGAAGTATATACCTGGACAAATGCAGGAAGAATGTGTACCTGGGCCATCGTCGATTTCTTCCGACCAACCATCAATGTCGAAAGAAAGGCAAGCATTTCAAAGGCGAGGTAGATCACCGGAAGAAGCCTGCCAAGCGTATCGGTGTTCACGTACTTGCTATGGTCAATGATTTACACGTAATCTTTGGAAAGGGTCCCGGCGCACTAGCTGTTCCGAATGACGCTGAGGGACACGCACCCATGTGGAAGAAGAAATCTATATTTTGGGACCTACCCTACTGGAAAGACCTAGAGGTCCGCTCTTCAATCGATGTGATGCACGTGACGAAGAACCTTTGCGTGAACCTTCTAGGCTTCTTGGGCGTGTATGAAAAGACAAAAGATACACCTGAGGCACGGGAGGACCTGCAACGTTTGCACGAAAAAGACGGCATGCCTCCAAAGCAGTATGAAGGTCCTGCCAGCTACGCTCTTACGAAAGAAGAGAAAGAAATCTTTTTTGAATGCCTGATCAGTATGA